CGGAGAAGAAGGCGCAAGGGCGGGAACGCCCTCGGTGGGCGCGTCCATGGCGGCGGCGCCCGGCGGCCACGTTGACAGGGCGGGAGCGGGGCCGCGCCGCGCAGGGAAGGAAAGGAGGGAAGAAGGGGAGGGCAGGCCGGGCCGGTCTGCTCGGCCGTTGCTCGGCGTCGGGGTGCGGGTGGCCGCTGCCACACAGTAAAAATGTCTTCGCCTCCCAAAGAGAAAGCAGAGACGCGGGCCGGACACCCTCCTGCTGGTACGGCCGCCGGTTCCCGTCTCTCCGCTCTTTCTCTTCTCACTCCCCGGGGACGGGACGGGGTCGGGGGGGGAAGGTAGCGGTGGGCCGAGCCCCTCCGGGAGAGCCCGGTTCCCCGCGAAGTCTTGCGGGCGCCGGGGTGAGGAGGGTGAGGGCGGGCTGGGCCGGGACCCGCCGCGGCTGCTGCCTCCGGGGGCGGGGGTGCGTGTGAGGCCCGGGGGGGGGGTCCCCGTATTTCCCCGCTCCAGAGCAACGTCCGATCCGGCTCTCTGGCAGCGGGAGTGTGCGAGGGTCCCCTCGGGATCTCTGCTCTGCCGCTCTCCCTCTTTCCCCCCTCACTGCCCTCCGGCAGCCTTCGCCAGTGACCGGGGAGGGTGGGGGGGGGCGAGTGTCCCTGCCCCGCTCGCCCCGGAGGAGCTCTCTTGGTCGCGGACAAACCTTTCGGCGTTGCCAGCTTGTGAGGCGGATGGCGTCGTCCTCCTCCTCCGTGAGGGCATCCCGGCCTCGAAAGGCGGTGGAGGCCTGGGGAACCGCCGCCTGGGGCTGGGGAAGGGCGGGAAGGGGAAAGGAGCGGTCCCGGCCACCTCACGGCCACGGGGCGAGCCGCCCTGCGAACGGCAGATGAAGAGTACTCCCTGCCTCCATTTTGCCTGTGGGCGTTGTGGTGCGAGGGCCAGAGCGGGCCGCAGGTACCTAGCTTTAATTCTGGAGGCTGGCAGAGTGGGAAACAAGGCAAGCGGCTTGCTTAGCTGCCCGGCCAAGGAGCTCCGGCGCCTTCCACCCGGTGCTGGGTGGTCGCGGGTGGGCAGAGCAGCGGGCGGTCAGGGTAGGAGCTGCGTCGGTGGGACACCGATCTGTGTCGGCTCCTCTCGGTACGCAGCCGGGGTTCGGTGACTCGCAGGATCCATGTCGTCTTGACCCCTCACGTGCCGCTAGTTCGTTTTCCTTATTCTTCATTATGGTTGTCTTAGAAAAGGGGAATTTGGTCCCTGCACCAGCAGCTTTTCGTGCGTCTTGCAGTGTGTCCTGCTGGAATAGTTGGCTTTTTTCTTTTTTTTAAGTGTTTCAGTCAAAAAAATCATGAAATTCTTCATTCACAGGGTGTCAGTTTTATATTCAAATCAATCTATGAGATTTAAAGCTACATTAGGGAACAATTTTTGAATCCTAATTGAATTCTGCTCTTCTCATAATGAGGACCTGAAATTCCTTTAAATAGAGAATAGAAGTGAGAAATAATGGCTTGGCTTTGCATGGCAAATACAGTTCAGTAGTACAGTTAAGCTGATCTCTTGGCTGAGCAGAGTCGTCCCAGTTCTGCAGCCTTCCGTGTCATGGTATTACCTCTTACCAGACCTCCTGGTTAGCTGGTTCAGGGAACCAAACCAAAGCACCTTTCCCAATGTTGACAGCTTTTGCTGCCATAGCTCCTCAGGCTGGCTCACCCTCAGGTCAGGTAAACTTCATCTTCTGTGTGAAGAGATGGTTAAGACCGTAGGTTGGTTTAGCTGTGTCTTCCTGCTGCACCATCAATGGTAAGGGAACAAAGGATAAATGGCAGATATTTTCATTTAGATGCTTTGTAACTGTACTTTCGGATGTTGTTGTGTGTTTGAGAGTTTTGCTTCAAAACCTGTCTTTTCAGAGAGGTGGAATTTTTTAAAGACCTGAAGTGAGCCTCTGTAGGACATGTGAGAAACTAGCGACGCACAGTGCAAAAGCACAACTGGAGTACAGTACAGGTTTCCCTTGCTGTCAGAGTATTTCAGTATTATTTTTTTTTCTTTGTATAACATGCAGCCACATATGAACTGAAGAACTTTTTTCAGCTGCATGCCTTTTAAGATCATTAGCATCCCTGAGGGGTTTTTGGGAGTATGCACCAATTCAGCTTCAGAAGGAAGGCAATCACCAAGTCTGTCTTTGAGGCCAGAAAAAAGCCTAATGCTTTACAGTATCTTCAGGTCGTTTCTGAAAGAAGATGGTTCTGAGCTGGTTGGCAGAGGAAAGTGGCCCTGTGGTCTTTTAATACTTTGAAAATCTGCAATAAATGTGCTGACTAGAGACACTTTGTATTTACTCTGCGGGCTGAAGCTAGGTTTTAACCCTCTATCTCAAGCCAGTTTAGATTCTTGGATAATAATGTAATTCAATAGGGCAGTTTGCAAGCAAGTTTTAATAAAATGGAAGTAAAAAATTCTTAAAAAAATAAATAAAAGATGACTACATAAATACAGGTGGAATCGTGTTCATAAATAACCAGGCAAGTTCCTAGCAAAGGAAAGATGTGAATAGGGGATCTTTTTTGACTAATGGCTTAAAAGCTCTGGTTTTGCTGTGTATGTTGTGTAACAAGCCCTGCCTGTAATTACGGGTGTGTCTTACCCCACTGAGTATGAACTGAACACATAAAGGTTAGGAAGGATTTGGATCGTCAAATTAAAGCAGAATTGACAAATCCATTGTTTTTCATATGCACTGTTAGCCCTCGCTTACTGACTGCGTGCAGTCTGTTCGTTTCCTCTCTGCATTGATCTTTCATATGGGGGGGAAGACAAGAAAAACACTTGAAAAGACAAAGGATAATGAAATGGAAAGAAGCCTCAAGACCTCAGGCTGGTAACAGGATGCATGAAGCAACTTTGAACTCCTTTCTGAAACTTAAGAGGGCCCCAGCTTAAGCTCTGTTAAATATCGGTCTACCAGTGAGATCAATGTATCTAATACATTGCTGATTAGGTTTGTACAGCTTGCAGCCCCTCTAGAGAGGTCTGCATAATTATGCTTTTAGCTGTTCATTTCTTCTGGTAGATACTAAGGAGGAATAAAGCAAGGTGATTGTATTAATAGTTTATTTATGAAGCTTTACAATAGGTTTGTGAAAATAGTTATGTGCTTTTTCCTACATTAAAAAAATATAGCTCTGAGCCAAGATTTCTGTGAAATGAAGGTATATAATAACTCTCACTTCTGCTCCTGTTTTGTCAGACACTAATGTATGCTCCACTCCCTTAAGCTTGCAGAACGGCCTATTTTGCGTTTCCCTCAGTCCTGGCTTTTTATACATCTCATCGATGTAATGCAGTCTATTATTATACAGTTCATGAGAAACAGATTTTTTCTTAAAATTTAATACTATACTCAAGGAAAACGGGAAGCTGCTAAAGCTCTTGGTTATACTTTGGATTTCTCAAAGTTTGTCTGGTTGCTGTGACCAGCGGGCAATTTGGGTTGAGCTGGAAGGTTTCCCCGGGAAGGACTGCCTCGGGTCTGCAGCCTGAGCAAGCTGGGCCCAGAGCTGTCGCTGAGCTGCGGTGCTTCTCTAGGTACTTGGTGCTTGCTGCAGCTCGGTGGGGTTTATCTCAGAGTTCAGTCTCAGAAACCGGGAGCAGTCCTGAAGAAGCACAGGAGTGGGGGGGGGAGTAAATAGACTGAGAATGTTTACCGACTCCAGATCGTCTTGAGTAGTAATTGATTAACATGGTTGTTTAATACATTTCCAAAAGGAGTAGTCATACCCTTAAGAGGAACGCAGGCTGGCGTTCACAAGACAAACAAGACAGTCCTGTCTGCCTGTTGGGGGGCTGGGAGGGAAACATGCCAGGTAATAATTAAAATCCAAAACTCAGCTCTTACCCAGCAGTGAGGCAAACAGACTTGCGCAGTTGCTCTTCTTGGAGCGTGCTGGCAGGCGATCCCCAATGACTTTTAAGTGAAAAAATCACCATGGTAAGCATCTGTCAAATTATGTAGTAAATGCTAGGCAAGTAAGAAATAGATGAATCCTCGTAAGTCCCAAGAAAATCTCACAAATGGAGTGGGTCTTTCTTTAGCTTGGTGGATGTAATCATCGTTTCTTCTCTCTGTCTAACCCTGAGGTGTAGCTTGGTTGAAATCTTCTGAAAAGGAAGGTGAATTATGTTGCAAGGGTATTTCTCTTCTTAAGCTAAGTCTCTTGAAACTAGATTGGGTATGAGCATGCTGTGTCATGGGTGGCAGAGATGTACATCAGCTGTATGTACAGGTTGCTGATCTAATTATTTCACTTCTGGCCTCAGAAATACACATTATTACTGCAGTTGTTTGCTGGATTCTTCGTTTGGTTTCCCAGATCTGCACAGTAACCCTGAATTACTAAAGATTATTCAGTTATGCACCGATGTACTTTTAGCTGCCTATACTTTCTTTGCCTGTTGATATTGGTGCAAAAAATCAGATTATTAAAATTATTAAGTTACTGCATTAGCCAGTCACTATTATGCCTTTTAATTGTCTGGTTATTTGCTTTTTAATCCCTGTTAATTCTACAGAGAAATCTGAACGTGTTAGCTGCATATCTTTGCCAGTGACAGATAAAGAGAAAACAAGTGGCTGGTGGCCTGATGATATACGTATAAGAGGAGAGAGATTTTAGATCAGCTAAATTAGCACTAAACCTTCGGGTACTGTTTTCTTTAGTTTTCTGTTAGATGGTGAAGAGTGTGAAAGCGTGTGTGCATTGTCCAGAACTGCTGTTTGTAACCTGGCAGACGTTGCTGTGGAGACAGCATCTTCCACAAAAAGTAATTTGAAAGGAAACTAATAAGAACTGATTGTGCAGTGATGTTAAATTTATGAATTAATGTAAATAAAACATACCAATCAGTTTGATTAACTGAGATGTTAGAACAAGACAGCACTTGACAGAACTCAGAGTGCTTGCTTTCGCGAACAACCTTAAATTTCTACGGAGTTTGCATCAAGAAAAATTAATAGGAATTTTAGTTTTTGTTTGATTTTTAAAAGTACATTTCTTTGTCGCCTAACCTTTCTGTCTTTTTCCTTGTCCCATGTGGAACATTTCTTTCCAATTTAAGTATTGTAAGTTTTATGCTGGAGAGAGAGCACAAAAGGGTTAGTGTGGGGTTTTTTGGTTTGGTTTGGTTTTGGTTTTTTTAATGCATGATGAGGAGACACAGTTTTGATAGGTTTTAAAAGGCATTTCTTTGGGTTTGTCTATTGATTGCCTGCCTTTAGTTAATGTCCTTTATTGAATCAGAAGTTTATCTTTCAAATATTACACAAAGTTTGAAATCTATATAAAAAAATCCCAGGGCCCAAGAGCTGTCACTTTCTCCTAAGGCAAGTCACTTTCTCTTTACTGCTTGCCTTCACACAGGCTGTAAAATTCGTGCACGGGAGTGTCCTTCCCCTTGCTGCCCTGGTTTGGAGCTGAGAACTAAAGCTGTTCCTAGGTTTCAGGGGTTAGCACTGAACTTCTGTGAGGTGCCTTAATCCCTCAGTGACTGGACCCAGGAGGGCTGTCAGAGGTACAGTTTCCCCGAGCCGCCCTGGCAAGCTGCTTCGTCTCCTTCTGAGTGCTGTTCTGGCATCCTGCTTGCTCGGGCTGTGACAGCTCTGCTGAGGCTGTCCACAGACTTACCGTGTCGCGGCAATGTGAAACACAAACCGATGCATCTGTAGGTGGTTTTATTGACTCCTGACTGCTACAGTAGTGTTCTGATGTGGTTACTAAGGGCAATGTAACCTGCTGAATTAGCTAACGAGATGCATCATCTTATCCTGTGCTGTCCTCTAAGCGTGTATAGCAACGGTTGAAGCAAAAAAAAAAAAAAAAAGTACAATATTAAAACAGAAAGCAGATCAAGAGCAGCCTGCCTGTTTCTCTGCTTAGTAGCTGCAGTGTTAGGCCTGGCTTGGTTCCTGTTTTATATTTCACTCTGGAGGGGATAAATCATGAACAGAAGTGGATTTGCTTTCACTTCTTGTTTTGTGTTTTAAAGGGGTGTTTTCACGTTTGCGTCATTTCTAAAACTAAATCATGACAAGGATTTGAAATGTGGTAAATGCTTATGTTTTGCAAAGCAAAAAGCTCTGTTCTAAATGCAAGTTAACAGTCGTCCTAACTTTGCTTTTTATTACATGGTTCGTGAAGTAGTACTTCATATAAATACCGTTATTATGGCTGTAGGTTTTAACTTGAAATGACAAGTAAGGTTCTTCAGCCCTTCTTGTTTTATGGGAGTATTTAACGTTTGTGTTTGTGGCCTTTTGTGTAGTGTTACGCAAGCCATTGCCTCCATTTCTTCTGACTGCTGCAAGTTGGTAGGGGTGTTGGTAGGAGAGTTAAAACAGAGCTGAGTTTTCTAAAATGGTATTTGAAGCAGGTGGTAAAATGAGCTGCAACTTCTCAGGATGAGCAAAGATGGCATGAAGTGAAGGAGAATGGCAGATGCGGTCCTGAAGTAGCTGTTTCTCAGGCTCGCCACTTTTAAACACTTTGGGCCCCGTTTTCAAAATGTGATTACTATTAAACTACTCTGCAAAATAGTAGGGGGGGAGAGGGAGAGGGTCATCTTTAAAATGTTCTTCACTTATGCTGATTTGACTGAGGTTTGTTGTGTGTCTCTAATTTTCGTTCCAGTGAAAGCTGGTGGGATGCGGATTGTGCAGAAACACCCACACAATTCTGATGCCAAAGAAGAAAAAGATAAGGATGACCAAGACTGGGAAACCAGCAGGTGAGCCCTTTGATTTGGTGCATGTGCTACAGTGAATTTTCATGACCTTGAACTTTATCACCAGTTTGTTTTCCTTGTGGATAGCAAACCAATGATACAGTTGGGTTTGTATCATAAAATTAATTTAAAGTGGTAGCAAGTTACACGCTCCTTCAGGAGAATTGGGGAGTTTGGGAATTTTTACCTTGCTGAGCCACCTTTAAATGATCCTGTCAGGTAAGAGAAGGTTAGGAAAAAAGGTACAGTTAAAGTAAAACACCAGGTTTCCTAAAATCTCTGAACATTATTTCAGACTGTGCAGAAACACAGAGGCTAGGCACATTTGGACGCAGTCATTAGGCTGTCAATCTGTGTATGAGGTGGTCTTGCTGTGTACTGGGTGATTCCTTCTACCCTTTGGCCCATACTCCTTTCTCTGTGAGGTATTTGACAATATGGTGCTTTTTCAAAGACAAGTAAAAATAAATGCTATGAATATTATCTGTTTTTATTTTAGGTGGGAATCTAGCAGTTTTAGTGGTGGAGGATACCAAGATAGACAGCAGTTACTTAGCAGTTTTAACTAGATTTATCAGATAACTGCTGTGTAGAAGTGAAAGCAGGGAGGTTCAATGGACTGTTGCTGTAATTCTGTTTATACAAAAAACACCTGGTTTTGTGCTGCTTTCCTTGGCTAGCTGTTCTTCTTTGTAGCCAAGACTATATTTACCTGAAATCTTTATGTACTAGTTTACTGCATGGGTTTGTCCTTGCTATTTGCTCCTGGCAAAAAAAACCCCAACCAGAGCGCCATTCTTGTGCTTTGGTAAGTAGAATGACTCACATGATGTTTATTTTACATTTAAAACAATGGTAATAAATAAGTATTGTGAAAATGTCTGTATAAATAAGAACAAACGTGTTTGTTTACTAAATCACAACTTGAATAGGAAACATGTTTATGAGAAGGGAAAAGTAATTTTAATTAATATATTCAAATCAGAGGTAGGAAAATAAAACTTTATGCCATTTCTTCATTAACCACATTGGTCATCTTGTATTTCTGTTCATTGGCACATGAGTTGGAACAGAGTCTGTACTGCAGTCCAGTTTTGTCCAAAGGAAGGAATCGTATCCTGTGGTTAATTTAAACTTTGCTTGGGGATATGTCCTTTTATTTAAGGTGTGTTTGTGGTGGGCTGATCCTGGTTGGAAGCCAGGTGCGCACCAAGATGCTGTATCACTCCCCTCCTCAGCTGGGCTTGGGCGGGGAGGGGGAGAGAAAATAAGATGGAAAAAACTGGAGGGTCAAGATAAAGGCAGTTTAATAAAGCAAAAGCAAAGGCCGTGCATGGAAGCAAAGGAAAACAACAGATTTATTCTCCACTTCACATCAGCAGGTGATGTCCAGCCACTTTCCGGGAAGCAGGGCTTCAGTACACATAGCAGTTGCTCTGGAAGAAAAACGTTGTAATAACGAATGCCTCCCCTCCTCCTCCTTTCTCTTAGCTTTTATTGCTGAGCAGATGTCATACGGTATGGAATACCCCTTTGGTCAGTTTGGGTCAGCTGTCCTGGCTGTGTCCCCTCCCGCGATCCTGCCCACCCCCAGCCTACTGGTGAGGGGAGAATGTCGGAGAGACAGCCTTGACAGCTGCTCAGCGGCAGCCGAAACGCCGGTGTGTTATCAACACCTTTCTAGCTACCAATGCACAGCACAACACTATGAGGGCTGCTATGGGGAAAATTAACTCCATCTCAGCCAGACCCAGTACAGTGTTATATACCTGCTTATTCTTATATTTCCTTGGCATGCCAACCTCATGGTGAGGGAATCGCATTAGTATCCAAGTGAGAAGACTTCTTAGGCCTGTTCGCAGATCTCTGTTACAATATAGCTATCTGCTTTATTCCTTTCTTCAAACAAGATTATAATTTTCCCCTTTCACTCAAATAGTGTAGGGAAAAGTTAAAATTTAACTTGATATTTGTGGCTGTGTCTGCTTTAGCAGGTGCTGTGACACAACAGAAGCAGGTCTGCAGGGGGAAACAGTCGGTGCTGAGGCCTTCATGTTCACCACACTGCATGTGTTTTGGAGACTACTTAGTCTGGTCTCCTGGACTGAAAGACCAAGCCCAGCTGGCGTGTGTTAGGTGTCTCCTTGGATGGCGTGTTCCAGTTTAGCGTCATCTGCAGGGAGTCCAGGTCAGGTGCCCTGACACCAATCCACAATGCAAAACAAAGCCTGGCCAACAGAACGATTTGGAGGGGGAGTGCGCTCCTGATCTTAAGATGCTAATAAATATGCACTGTATATTAATATTGTAAAGCAGGTCCGTGAGCGATTTTTATGCTTTAAAGGCAGAGGGGAAAGTTTAATGACCTCTGGAGCTACCTTACTAACTAGGGAATAGTTAGCTGTTGCACCTCATAAAATCCATTCCCTCGGCCACCTCATCAGTTTATTGCCAAAGTGTGCACTTAGAATGTGCTCTTTGCTTTAGTTTTCTTGTAGAGGATACGTTATCAGTCTGTATTAGGCACTTGTGCATACAGTTATTCTTGAGCCTGTGTATTAACACAAAAAGCATCGCTCTGAACTTTTCTTTCTTTGATTTAATCCTCTTGAGAAGGATGGTGGCAGGAGGGATGGAAGGAGCAAGCATAGTTAGATGGGAACCAGCATGAATTATAAACCAAAACTGTTAAGTTGCTTTACAAGTCTCAGAGAAGTTGTTTCCTGGTAGAACTGAGGAACCTTTGTGTCTGCGAGGGGAAGGGTTTAATGTGCCTGTTGTAGGCCCCTGTGAGAATACTTGTACAGCTCCAATGGCGATACAAGCTGTAGTGCGAGCAAGAAGTTATTTAGCCATAGACAGAATAAGCAAACTCCACAGGCCATAGTACATAAAGTTGTTGTTTGTCAAAATTAAATTATGTTTGCAGCGTGTCAGCTGCTTTTTTGTTGGAAGGTGCAGTCCCCTGGAGTCTCTGTGTCAGCTCCTGGTGATTCACAGTGCCCTTCTAGAACACTTGGATTTCTGTTGCCTGCAGACAGAAGTTTATCAGGAGATGGGGATGGGTTTATCAGGAGGAGGAGAAGAGGCCTCCAGCATTCTGTTCTGCTTTCTGTGGCACTAATATATATGTACTTTTTAGTCTTTGCTAGCTGATATTTTATGTCCCTTTGCTAAGCAGGTGCAGAGACATCTGGGTTTTTAACTTTCTACTCTCATGTTTTCAGTCCTTGCCATTTTAAGGTAGTATCGTTGATATGATGCAATCTCTACTCCCTATTGCATTCAAAGTCAAAAGAAGCAAACAGCCCTTAAGGCAATTCCTATCAGGTGATAGGGGCAGCTGACAGTGATGTGAGAGAAAATAATAAAACAGAGAAGAGTAATTTGTGTGTGTGTCTGTGTGTCAAGAGGGAGGCTAGGATGATTGAGTGATTATTTTAATCTCATTGTCCTCTTAGTTGAGGACACATTACTGGAATTGGCAGTAAATCGAGGCAGAAGATTTCAAGCTCTCCCAGAGTTCCCTGGGAGCTCCGAGAGCACATGTCCTCGCCACAATGGCACAGATCTGAGCAGCTGCTCAGCAAGAAAGCTTTCAGCTAGAGTTCATGGTAGTATTTGTGGCTTCGGAGACAGCTGGCATTGGTTTTGCAGCATGCTTGCAGAAAAAGGCATTGGGTCAGTGTTTCTAGTCTTAATGTAAACAAAGCTGATAGAGGTAAACACCCCTGAAGTAGCTAACTGTGCTGTGATAAAGGTGACTTTAAAGTAACATTCACCAGGTATATCTTCTTTGACATTTCTTTTTCTCATTTGTTTAGCAACTTGCAATCCAGTTGCTGTAATTTACTCTGCAAAGTATTTTATTCAGTTCTGTTTCCTAAAATAAATTTGTTATGACAACCTACCATTTTGTGAAATGGTAGCCTGACTTGTCATAATAGTGATTTGTGATCCCTTAAAACAATATGTGGTAAGATGATTTTATACAAATTTAAACTTTTCCTACAAGGCAGTTCTCAGCCTTGAGCAGTATGGAAATAATTTTACATGTCTGGTATAAGTACAGTTTTACTTAAAGAGGAATGGTTGGAGGTGATTATATGGAGGAGACTCAGTGAAAGAAGGGAGGGCTTGCATCATTTGGGTTAGGTGAACTAAAAAACTGTGTGTGGCATCCAAAGCCAGTGGCACCACTGTGGTCAAGACATCAGTGGTAAACTTGGGTGTGAGGTGGGGTCCTCGGCCCACGTGTTCTTCAAGACAAGAGTGATTTTGATCAGGCTGGTTGGAGATAGGATACCGGCTGGATGAACTTCTGGTCTGATCTCTTACTGATTTTCTTATGTTTCTGTAATTGCTTAAGACTTGCGTTGATCTGTTTTTTGGATATGGTTGCAGTTTTGGTTGATTGACAGTCATACTGATTGCTGCTGGAAGGTTTTTTTTGTGATGCTAGATGAAGGTGAAACATATAATTAGAAGTAGGGTTATGAATAGAAACATCATTTTTCAGGACCGTGTGTTGTCATAGAAGGTATTTGGAATAAGTAGGCTGCTTATAGTCCTGGGCTTTATTAGAAGCCCACTAATGCATGTTTAACTGAGATTTGCAATATCATGCGTAGTCCTGTACCAACATCTGACTCTAGCCATAATAAATACTCCTGAAAGACAGATAATTTGAAGTGAGAACTGCTTGTTCAGTTTTGCACGAGAGCTTCATTAATTGTCACTCTGGGACCTCAAGCAGAAGAAACTATAATTATATATCAGCATCTGGATTTAAAAAAAGAATATTTAAAGTAAATATCTGGCTCATTTTGTCTTTTAACAAACAGGGTAAACTGCAACAGCTTTCATGTCTAAAGACTCTTTCCTTCTCTTTTGTTATATTTCTGAAACAAAGTGGGTAATTACAGTGATTTAATTACTGAATATAAATACAGTAGAGTGGTTTCTCAGTACGCATATGTAAAAGGTATGTGTTTTCTATCTTA